GCAGGCCTAACTGATTGTATTAATACAAAGAAGCCACTGCAGCTACAGTTCAGAGAGAGAGAGAGAGAGAGAGAGAGAGAGAGGGAGGATCAGAGAGGTAGCCAAGGGCCAGATCGTTTCTTAGAGATCACAGCAAGGACTTTGGCTTTTTTTTTTGGAAGGATCATGAAACTTTTAGCAGAGGAGTAACAGGAGCGATGCATCTTAAAAAAATCACTCTACTCTGCCTGCAGTGTGGAGAATAGACTTTAGGGAGGGCATGAGCGGAAGCTGGGAGACTAGTAGGTGAAAATATGATAAAGGCTTGGACAAGGGTAGTAGTACTAGAGGTGGTGAGAAGCAGTAAGATTCAGGATAAAATCTCCTCCTGCTGAGGAGTCAGGGTTTTGGGCCTTCGTAACTAGGAGAGTGAAAATGCCATTTACAGAGATAGGGAACAGTTTGGCACTGAGGGACATTAAGTGTTGGACCTGATTAAGTTTGCAATGCCTGTTTGATCAAGTAGAGATCTTGAGTAAATAATAGGATGTATGAGTCTGGAGCTTAGTGAAAGTTTGGGGCTTAAGTTAAAAATTTGGGATATGAGGGAAAAAAAAGGAAAAAAAATTGGTGCCAGCGTTTCTACTGAAAAAAAAAATCGGGATATGATCTATTTTATAAGAAACTCTAAAACTATAATTAACAGAGCATTACTTTTATTGCAGACAAAACCATATGCCATCGTTGAAAGGAAGCCCAGAATATTCCCAGTAAGTCTTAAAACATCTCTGATTTTTCTTCTGTTTATTATATTTCTCTTTCCTTTCCCAAGTGATCATTAGACTAAAATTTTCCTTTCTTCTCACTGAAAGTTTAAGTGCCTGTTTTGTATATTCTTAGAAAAAAAAAGAGGAGGAAATAATGTGAGGTAGCAATTACAGTTGAACCTGGGATGTGGGCACATTTCTTTTCACCCTGGCTGTAAAGCTTGTGCGACCTTTGTAGTCCTAAAGTGAATTGAAGGTACGAACAGTTTTTCACTGGTGCCATTTCACGTAGGGTTAAGGACTTAGGGCACTAGCCTGAGCAGACACCTGAGCATTGTAACAGCAACTAAATTCCTCTGTTATTATTTCCAAACTATCATTTCCTATGGCAGTTTGACCGTAACGTCTCCATCTGTGAATTTATAATCTGTCAATGTGTGCTTTAAATTTTATGTTATGAATATGTAGGCTATTATCCTAATTTAAAATAAGTCTTCATCATTAAAAGATTACATATTAGTCTGTTGGTATCTTACTAGCTGTTTGGGAGGTTATTGTTTAGCAGAGTCAAATACATGTTATGTTCTTGTTCCATTTCTAGTCACAGATAATGAACTACCATCAAGCTCTAAGTTATATAATTTTAGAAAACAAAACTTGATGTAGATTCTTGCTTCTATCAAATGACATGGTCACAGTAATCCATTGACGACTGCAACAGAAGGGAATTTTAGGGAGAACTACCAAAGTTGGCTAACTCTTCCAATTGGAATTCTGCTTTAGGAAATAGTAGGGGATTTCTTCTGTATTTCATTGTGTATAATTGATGTGTGTCAGGGCCTAGGTAGGCTCAATTATCTTGTTGGTTTCAACAAGTTAGGTAATTTATTTATTCTTCCATTTATACATTTGTTTATTGTTTATTTTGACATTACTGTTCAAAGGAAAAGAAGGAGGACTCTCTTTAGAAGACCATATAGTGATTCCATAGCATCTCTCCTACTTCCGTATTTTTTGCCACTGTGGTTCTTTCCTGTTTCTGTACCTTTGAGAAGCTGCCCCTTTGAAGACCTGAAGAATGCTCATCTGTACATACCTTAGAATAGGATAGACAGTAACAAACAAACCACCAAATCTCAGTGGTTTAACAAAAGTTTATTTTCTGTTGACATCACAGACTAGCATAGGTCAGACAATTATAGTGAGGCCATTGGGACTATGAGGCTCCAAGATCATAGGGAAAGAGAGGGCTGGATGTCTCAGGGGATGATTTTAAGGTCTAAGCTTGGAAGTAGCTTACATCACTTCTCTTCATGTCCTGTCGGCCAGAACTCATTCTCATGATCCCACATGTCTTTGTGCTTTTTTATGTTTCTCAGCCTCCCATACCTGGAGTCTCTGCCACAGTGTATCCTTCTAGTCAACAAATAGCTCTTTGCTTCCTTCTTCCCACACACGTAACACAAGTCCCTTTCCTAGGGAGAAACCCCAAGGTCCCATTACATCACTGCAACCTAAGATCTTCAGATGATGTATAGTAATATCCGTCAGGGTTATTCTTGGAGATTCTTCTCTTGGAGATTTGAGGATCAATGGCAAGTAAACTGTATCCCTTGCCTCCCAACCACGCCCATTATTCAGCGATGGAATTTGGACAGCATAGCAGTCACTTGGCTCTGAAACCCCAGTGGTCAAACACTGTAAAGCCTCCTAACCCCTGTGTGTGGGAAGTTACTTGAACAGGAACTGATTTTGCTTCTGGAAGAAACACCTTTGTTCATTGTTCTTCCTGGCCCCTGGCTCAGTCTAGGGGATTCTTTCTTTTCCATTATCAACCTAGACCACATCTAAAATGAGTACTGGGAAGTATGCCCTCCTTAGGGTTGTACAGCCTTTAAAATCTACCTTCTGCTCACAGAAGGTTGAGGGCCACAGGTTGTTTTAATCAGAAACAGTCATAGGCTTTTATTGTCTGTATGTTTGGTTTGACCATCTAGTTCTCACATTTGGCAGGCATGGAAAGAAAAATACTTGGTAGGAGTCTAATCTTTTTGCTTCTAGTCAGTCCCACATGCCAGTATCTGTGGTTTCTATACATAGTTGTCTCATTTCTTTGTCCTTATTCTACTGCCTCTCTCAACTCAGTTGAGAGGCAGCTATGTGGAAGCCACCAGAAACACACTCTAGTTCAAGGGCTACCTTTGTTTCAGTCTGATCTTTGCAACGGTGCTGGGTCCCTCTGTTTACTGAGTTTTATTGGGCTTCTGTTTCTCAGAATCTTTTCAGTGTTGTTACTGTTTAGAGATTCAGAAACAATCAATCTGATTTTCTAATATTGCAAGGTCCCAAATTTTTAGATTCTTATTTTTATTTCTCCTCTCAAATCAGCCACTTCTTACCTGAGCTTATGTTTCTTAAAATACATTACTAAGGCAGCCACTAGTAGTTAAACACATACTATAACGTTTTTTCAGGTACTTCTCCTAGAACCTCAAGTTCATTAGACAGTCTGCTTCTAAGTTATTAGTGCCTTTTGTTTCCATCTTATAGCCTCCAATGCCAGTGTCCTTGTAGCCCCACTGCTAAGCCAGTGCCATGTGGTTCAATTTTTATTACAGCAGCATTAGTACCACTTCAAGTTATTAATTTCTGTGTTAGGGTAATGCTAGCTGTGGTAACAAGTTTTCCCCCAAGTATATAATGGCTTAAACATAATACAAATTTATACAGTCCTGAGCCATACCAGGTCAAGGAATGGTAGGTGGTGATGGGGATAATTCTACTCTACTAAGTCAACTCATGGACTATCAGGCTGATGGAACCTGCTGTCTTAAACAGAGAGCTGAAATTAAAGCTAAGTACTTTGCCTAAGATTATACAGCTTGTCAGTGGAGGGTTCCAGGATTCACACTACTTGGTTCTGGCTTTAAAGTCCATGCCCATTCTGCCATACACACTGCATCTAGGTTTGGAAAGACACCCGAACCAGCTGCCCAAGGAAAGTTTGCATTCTGTTTCTAATATCCATTCTGAGCCAAACGGTAAACTGGTGACTGCCTAACACATTCAGTTGCTGGGAATACATTACCGCCTTATATTGAAGATGTTTACCTGCAGCTTTCTAGGGCTTCTATTTCTTGGGGCCAAGCAAATAAAGATTATCCTTTTATCACTTTGTAAAGACAACTTTCATGTCCTTTCTAGTCATTTTTGAGTGAAACTTTCCCTATTCTCTCCCTTACACCTTAAGATTTTGAATACTGGTTGCTCATCTTTAGACAGCTTCTATTTTGCCTCTGTCCCTTTAAAGTGTGAATGCCAGAAGTGAACTAGATTTTCCAGATGACCAAATAGAACTGACCAAATGGAACTATCACCTCTGCAGACAAGATTTTTCACTAATGCATCTTTGTTTTTCTAGGGTGATACAATTCTGGAAACTGGAGAAGTAATCCCACCAATGAAAGAATTTCCTGATCAACATCACTGAAGATTACTTTTAAAATTTCAAAGATGTTTGAGCCCAAGTTTGTTGCTACATTACCACACTTACTGAATATATTTTCTGGAAAAGTAACTTTAATAAAGTTTACTCAGATGTGTGTTGTCTGTTTCTTCCCAAACTGTATGGTTCCCTCTGTACAATTTGAGACTCTATGACTTATCTAACAATAAGTAAAAACTGGACATGCTAAAAAAATGGTATGGGCAATCACCTACTTTTTCTGGCCATTTTTAATTTGGAAAACAGCATGTAGAAAATTATTTAGTCACATGATAGTTTTTTCTTAAACAGTACTTAATCTACTGTGATGTGAAGGTATACAATGTAATGAAATGTTGCAATAAACAAATAAAAGAACAGAAGTTCCACACACTTTTAAAGCCTTTCTGAAGCATTTCAAAAGAAGTATTTTAGAAACTTTAGATTAAAAGGCCTAGATGTAGGTTGCTTTGTTATGTGGGAACATAAAAGACAAATCTCTAAGTATATGAAAAAGCATATTAGTGGTTATTATAAAGGACGGTATACAAATATGAATTTCGAAGCATTTTATTAAAGATTTTACTTTAAATCGAGACACGTGTCAGATAAGCATGAGGTAAAGAATTGTATATGCATAGAATCAAATCCAGAGGAATTACAAATTTTCATTTATCCCGAAGATTTTGGGTATTTCTTCCTTAGCTGTCGTCGTGCAGCTACAGTTGATGCATAGATGACGTATCCCCAGGAGAGCAATACGACCGCGAGGAGCAACTAAGAAATGCAAGAGGAGGAGTAAAAGCAAAAACACGTGAGCGGCACTTCCTCCTCCCCCCCATCAAGTTGGTGGGAATTTTAGTGACAAACTCGTATAAATGTGGTTCCGGAAGCGAGTACACCAAGCCGCTCTTACGTAAGAAGCGGAAGAGCGTGTCCTCCCGGAAGAGGCGGAGTCGAGGTGAGGGAGTGAAAGGCTTAATTCAGCAATGGATTTTGGAGTTTCTGGGCGCTGAAAAAATAGCGGGCTTTCGCCCGCGGGCCTCAGGAGTCGACTCCGTGGAGCCCCTCCAGGCCCGGGACCTACCGCTGAATAAATCCGGTCCAGGGTGCGGCGACTCACTGGCTTCATGGTAAGGAGACGGCGGCGGTCCGCGGGCACGGGCGGAAGCCGCAGGCCCTAGAGTAACCTCCGGGGCGGTGGCTGCCGGGCGGTGGCGGCCATCTTTCAGCCGGGCGCGAGTGCCCGCCCACTCGCCTTCCGGTGCGTTTCCCCTCGGCTGGGCCGGCCTCTTCCGCCCGGAGCTGTGGGCGGTGTCACGTGACCCTGGGCCAAGCCCGCCTTTCGGGAAGGAGGTGAGAGAAACGAGAAAGTATGTTGGAAGTGTTTTTTGCCACTTAGAAGGATAGGCTTGACTCGTCAGCCGGTCTTCCTTCAGTTCCAGAGCAGTATTAATACGAGATAAGGTACCGTCGTGTGCATTTAAAAGTTTATTTGGAAAAATCCACGTTTTAAATGCTACGCCGACGTCTCGTGCTCAAAGAATTAATGTTTCCTCCCGGATCTGTTCCCACAATGTAGGTAGTTCGTGTATTCATCTTTGATGTAAACAAGAATACCACCCGCTTTTATATAACTGACGAATCGTTGTGGGAATCCCTGTTAATTGAGCTTTTCTTCAAGAAACAAGTCTTTGAGAACGCAATGGCTTGTTGATGTCAGTGATATTCTGAAGAAGAAATAACGTGGCATGAATTACTCGGCAGAATGTAGCTGCCAATCAACAAGTATTGAACGTTTGTATGCTTAGGACGGTAGCACGATCAAATATTAAACCGAAGGACAGAGTTTGGCACGCGGAGCCAAGTTCAGCCCTGGAATATTCGGGATACTCACATTTGAGGCGAAGAATGGGGCAGAGGGCCGCTTTAAGCACCAGACGTTATGTCTCTGTAATCTCAGCTGTCGCCTAAACAGAGTTTTAATGCAGATTTCGGAGAGTGGGGAAGGGTAAAAACGTTATCTGTTTTGGGAAGATTTCAAGGCCCTACTCTCTTAGGTTGAATCCCTGTTTATCCCTGTACTGGAGTTGATCTGTCTCTGAAAACTGTAGGCCTCTGATTTGGGTATTCCATTCGAATCCCGGTGTTGTTTCCTAACTCTGCAGCCGGAGGTAGTCCCTTAACCTCCGGGTAACTCAGTTCCTTTATCTATACACCAGATACAGCTTTAGAAACTTCTCACAGAGTTTGGTGAGGTTTAAATGAGACCAAGCTAGTTATCGTGTCTTCCGGGTAAATTGGAAGCGAACTTTAAACGAGTGCCCCTGTAATCCCCAGAGATTAGTAGCAACCAGAGTGACGGTAAAATAGCGATTTCTGCCTCGGTGGGTCAGGCCTCTCTCATTCCAGGAGCGGAGGGGGTTGGGGGAAGGGCCGGGCTCGGGCCGAGCGCGCTAAGCCCCGCCTTCGGTGCCGGCGTCCTCTACCGCGCATGCGTTACGCAGGCGGGTGCTGTGTTTTGACTTGCTGGGGGTCGCGGAGTGGGTTTCGCTTTCTGCCACCGCTTTCTGCCACCACCCCCAAGCAACCATTGGTGATGAGCTCTTTACGTCGCAGGGGTCGCAGCAGCCGCCGGGGTCTCCGCTCTCTCGCGAGGAGGGTGAAGCGCCCCTGCCTACTCCCGCTCCTGAGGGCCGGCGGAGAAGTCGCCGGGTTCGCCTTCGCGGGTCTTGCCGTCACCGACCCAGCTTTCTGGGCCGTCGGGAGCTTGCCACGAGCTCCCCAGCCGGGCCTGCGCCGGTATCCTCCGAGGTGAGTGAGATCGGGAACAATGGGGCGCCGGGGTCGGAAGGGCTGGGCGATCTGGAGCTCCCGCCTGCAGCTAGGCCCAGGGTCGAGGGAGCTGCGGTCCGGGCCTGAGGCGCAGTGGCTGCCCGGCAGGCCGGCGTCCCGGCGGCTCCCGCCGCGCACCTGTGGATCCGTGCCGGTGGGCGGGGGAGGGCTGCTTTCGGAGAAGCGCTCCCGAGGGCGCCAGCCCAGCCGTGTACTGGAAGGAGATTGGTCTCCGGGGGGAAAAGCCGACACAAAACACAAAACGTTAGAGTCTGAGTCGTGGCATCGCCGCTGTCAGAGATGTGACCTTGGGCGGGCCCCTAACCTCTCTGAGTATGTCTGTAAAACGGGAGTAACGGTATTTTAGTTCGTTGCGATTATGTAAGGTACGCGGTTCTTATCTTAGATCCTGGCAGGTGGCAGTTCTCAACCAAAGGAAGTGACTGTCGCCGTGACTGTTAGAGTTTGTGCACTGTTTACACCCCGTGAGCCTGTGACTTCTTCATCCATCAAGTCAGCGCCGCTTTCCTCACGGGCTGCTGATTGGTAGACTGGAAGGGGGCAGTACTGAGATGAGGCAAATAGTGATTTGAGAGGAAAAGTGAATAGAATTTTTGGTAGGTAATTTTAAAGATTGTTTAAGATAAATTCAGAAAGAGTTACCGAAGATTTAAGTTAGTAGCGGTGAGGGTTGGGCTTTTTAGCTTGTTTTTAGTCAATGACTTTGAAAGCTACAGGGTCAGCCAAAGCAGTCATGCTTATCTGGAATGAGTGGCTTTAGAGGGGAATGGTTCCCAAGCAATTCTTTTTATTGCTGAAACTGGAATTAAAATCGTAGGGTCTGGTCAGTATTTAAGTTTTCTAGGGTCTGGTTAGTAGATACTATAACTTCTGTTTGATTTCTTGGAATTGGTGATTAGATTGCAGTTCAGAGACATACATGATTTCTTTAAGGTCACAAAAGATTGGGCCCAAATTGTTTTTAATATTTGGTATATTTCTAGTTCATCCACTTGTGAACCCTTTTTAGCCACTTTGCTTGGATATATTAAGTACAATATTGATATTAATATGAAAATTATTTAGTTGTTATAGACTGTCATCTTTCTGGGCATTTTATAATCAGTTATGGATGATGGAAATGATCAAAATTAACTTTATTTTCACATAACATAGGAAAACAATATTAAGTTCTTACAGCCCACCAAGCACTTTGCTACGGGTTTATGTGGAATATATCCCTTCACACAGGCACCTTTTCAGGTGGGTACTGTTACTCAGCCTGTTTTAGAATTGAGAAAATGTAAGATTTTGTGAAATAAAATAACTTCCTCAGGATCACGCCATTAGTAAGTGGTTTTGATTCTCAGCCCTGGCTCTACATTAGAATTAACATCACTCCGTCAGTGTAATCAGCCAGTGATTAAATTGTATATACAGTGATAATTTAAGGAATGCCGTAGAAGATGACTTTTATAGGAAGTCTGGTTTTATTAAATATTTAATTCTGCAGAGCATTCCTACTTTGTATCCCTGTGCAGTTTTTTAAATGTCCGGTTTGTGGTCTAATTTAGATTCTAGCCTCCCGACTCTTTACCACCCTCCACCTGTCCACCCCGACCCCCATCCCTTTTCCCTAGATATGTATGCTCGTTGATTATCTGAAATTTCCCCCAACATGTGATATGGAGGGTTCTTACCCTGTTAAAGCCAACACATTTGAAGATTTGGGGAAGGGAAGGTTTTGCTTAATCAATTTATTCTAAAGATGGTAAACTTTATTTAGAATTTGGGAGGCAGTTAAGGAAAGGGGTTCAGAAGAACTGATTAACTTATCCCCTATGGGGAAATTAATTTGAAGTCCTAATTCCTAGAGTGCTGGGATAGAGAAACTTTTTTTTTTTTTAATTGCGGTACGCGGGCCTCTCACTGTTGTGGCCTCTCCCGTTGCGGAGCACAGGCTCCGGACGCGCAGGCTCAGCAGCCATGGCTCACGGGCCTAGCCGCTCCACCGCATGTGGGATCTTCCCGGACCGGGGCACGAACCCGTGTCCCCTGCATCGGCAGGCGGACTCTCAACCACTGCGCCACCAGGGAAGCCCGGGATAGAGAAACTTTTACCACAGACTTCTTCTAGAACCTGAAGCACTAAATCTATCATCAGGTCCACCTTTACTACCTGACCCGGAACTCTCCCGCAGACCTCAAATCTTAAATCTGTCTGCTAGCCATCCCTGTTCTATGCCTTAATTTGTATTTTTGAAACAGTTTTGTTGAGATATAATTTATATTTCATGCATAAAGTTCACTTCTTTAAAATATAAAATACAGTGGTGTTTAGTGTATTTATGGAGTATATTTGTGCAACTCTAATTGAACATTTTCATCATCCTAGAAAGAAACCTCATACCCCTGCCCCCTGCAACCACCATTCTGCTTTCTATCCATTTGCCTATTCTGTAAATTTCCTATAAAATAGCATACAACATGTGATCTTTTGTGATTGATATTTTTTCATTTAGCATAATGAAAAAACTCATCCATGTTGTAGCATGTGTCAGTACTTTATTCCTTTTTATTGTCAAATATTCCATTGTATGGAGATTCCATATTCATCAGTTGATGGGTATTTGGGTTATTTCCACTTTTAAGCTCTTAGGACAAACACTGCTATGACTCTTCACTTACAAATTTTTGTGTGGGCATGTTTTTGTTTCTCTTGCATGGATAGGTGTGGAGTTGCTGGGTCATGTGGTAATTCTACTTCATTTGAATTAGCAAATATTTTAATTTTAGTATTTAGTGATGATTTTGAAAGAGTAAATCCTTTATATGATGATTTATATTCATTGCTATTATTTGGTGTTTCCGATGAATACCATTCTTTGTACCGAAAGATATTCCTGTATAGAAATACAAAACAGGACTAATAATTTGTTCTTTTTTACCTACTATGGATGATGTTACTCATCATTCTTTAGACTGCTGCTGTCAATTTGGTTAACAGACTTATAAAACTAGGGAAGGGAGGACTAAAATTATAATTAGTTGAGATTTTGTTTTATTTGAACTTCAAGTTATTACCAAATAATTTTTTTTAATGAATGCATTCTGGGTTGTAATTTTTATGTGAACTGGAAATGTTAGTAAACACTAAAATCCTGTATTCCAAAGAAACAAATTAAAATAAAATGTATTAACTTGAATTTCACCAGTCTTTTTTAAATTCTAGTTATCCCTTTTTTATATAGAAGAGCAAACTAAAGTCCAGAGTTAATGTGGATTTCTCCAGTTGATGGAGTTAGTTTTAGGTGAAACCTGGTCTTCAATCCAGATCTGATAATCTCTCCAGTGCCCTGTTCACTCTTCACTCCTTCCCCTAATGCACATGCACAGTCTCTTATCCTAATGGTTTTTATTATAAAGATTTTTTTTCTCCTGAGTAGGAGAATTTAAAAATATTAGAAGTAGGGGGAAATGCTGAGAAATTTATGTAATATTAAGGTTCCAGACTTTAAATATATTAGCAAAAATGCAATTAGTATTAATATATTTATAATTCTCTTCTATTTAAGAACAAAGGTAATTTTTCATTTCCACTCTAGAAACAGAGGACTGGAAGTATTTGGAACCCCCTGAAGAAACTTGTTCAGCGTTAATTGGTTTCCTATTAAGTTATAGCTCTGAGAAAGCTAAGATGCCCTAGATGAGCAAGTTTAATTTGAAGTCTATGGTGAAGTACTTACATTTTACAATAATATTGATAGGTTTTTATCGCGGGCTTTATTTGTTTTTGTTAGACCTAGGTATGGCCAGTGAGTTTCTTGTTTAGAAAATTGCAATTCTATTATTTGACTAGATAGCAGTTGACTCATGATGGGACTTTCTGTGATGGTGGAGAAAGATCAGTAATAGGCCCAGGAAAACATAAAGGAAGAAACTAATATATAACATCTATAAAATGATTAGTATAGAAAGCATCTAAAGAGGGATTTCTAAGATAACAAGGCCAAAATGTAATGCAACTAGATTTCAGCTCTGGAAAATTTATTTTGTAAGTTATGGGTCTATATAAACTGACAAATTTAAAGCAAACAGAACTAATCTTTAAGATTCTAGTGATCCTTGTGAGAAAAGGTAAGGAAGGAGGCTGAAAACATGATTTCAAGGTACTTAGTGACTGACTGGATTAAAAGGCAAAGAAAAGCTTCTTAGGGATGCTGAAAGGAGTCCGTGATGAACTGAATATAATAGTGTAGTAAGAATAGTGTAGTATATCAGTAGTGTAGTAATAATAACAGCAACTAACATTTACTCAGCAGTTGCTATAAGCCAGGCACTGCCCATGAGTGCTTTTATATTTTGTTATTTCATTTAATCTTCACTAACAGATCCTTTTTTCTGTGTGAAAGAATCTTCCACTAAAAACCACAGAATTGGTTCAAATAGGTGAACTTTCTGGTATGCAAATTTTCTCCCTAAAGCTATTTTTAAAGATACATGTATAATACTACAAAGAAAACAATTGAGTAGTCCGTAGTGTTTGGGGCATATGTATGCAAGATATAAAACCATGTGTAGAAATAACTCCAACTGAGAATTATGATATTTTTGGTTTTTGTTTTCTAGAGAAGGATGGCAGGGGCGGCGGGGAAGCACATAAACGGACATTTAAAAAAATCTGGAAAAACCATGAGAAAATGTTAGCTGCTAACTCTGAGTGGAGGATACATGGGTACTTGCTATATTTTCTTTTGTACTTTTTTGTATATATCAAATTATTTTTTAAAAAAGAATAATAGGATATTATATAATATTTGAGAGCTTACTGTGGACCAGGCACTTTTTCTAAGGGCTTTTTTTTTTTTTTTTTTAAACGTCTTCACAAATCTTGTGAGGCAGGTTCAAGTATCAGTGAGCTACAGATGAAATTGAAGCATAAGGATGGTAACTAGTAACTAATCCATAGTCACACTGGTAATGTGGCAGCAGGATTCAAACCCAGGAAATCTGACTTTAGAGCTTGTGCTTTAAGTACTGTATTACTATGCTACACTGCCCTTTTATGTTACAAAGACAATAAACTACTTAACTATTTTTACCAAAGTATGTTTCACAGTCATTTGCATTTTTTTTCAGATTTAGTCATTTCTTTTTTATCAGGTTACTGATGTATTTTTTTCCCTTTTACAGATAATGGCATCAGCCGCTAAGGAATTTAAAATGGACAACTTTTCACCTAAAGCTGGCACTAGCAAATTGCAACAGACAGTACCAGCTGATGCATCTCCTGATTCTAAGTGTCCTATATGCTTGGATAGATTTGATAATGTGTCTTACTTAGATCGCTGTTTACATAAGTTCTGTTTTCGCTGTGTACAGGAGTGGTCAAAAAACAAAGCTGAATGTCCACTATGTAAACAGCCCTTTGATTCTATTTTCCATTCTGTGAGGGCAGAAGACGACTTCAAGGAGTATGTCCTAAGGCCTTCATACAATGGTTCTTTTGCTACCCCTGATGTTCGACGATTCCGCTATCGTACAACTATGACAAGGGAACGAAGTGCTTCTATTTATTCACCTAATAGTACCATGAATAGAAGAACAACAACTCCACCAGATAGTGGAGTAATATTTGAAGGGTTAGGCATTTCAGCAAGACCTAGAGATGGTGAAATTCCTCCATTTATGAGACAGATTGCAATACGGAGGCCAGCTACTGCAGATGAAAGATCTTTGCGGAAAATTCAAGAACAGGATATTATTAATTTTAGGCGAACTCTCTATCGTGCTGGTGCTCGAGTTAGAAATATTGAAGATGGTGGCCGCTATAGGGATATTTCAGCTGAATTTTTCCGTAGAAATCCGGCTTGCCTTCACAGATTAGTCCCCTGGTTAAAACGTGAACTCACAGTTCTGTTTGGAGCTCATGGATCATTAGTGAATATTGTCCAGCATATCATCATGAGTAATGTTACTCGCTATGACTTGGAGAGTCAGGCATTTGTGTCTGATTTAAGGCCATTTTTACTTAATCGGACTGAGCATTTTATACACGAATTTATCAGTTTTGCCCGATCTCCATTTAACATGGCAGCCTTTGACCAGCATGCAAATTATGATTGTCCTGCTCCTTCATATGAAGAAGGTAGCCATTCTGATTCTTCAGTCATAACAATATCTCCCGATGAAGCAGAGACCCAAGAGCTGGACGTTAATGTAGCTACTGTTAGTCAGGCACCATGGGATGATGAAACTCCAGGGCCATCTTATTCAAGCTCAGAGCAGGTACATGCTGCCATGTCTTCCCTTTTAAATACTTCCGACAGTTCAGATGAAGAACTTGTAACAGGAAGAGCCACATCTCAGATGCAAGCAGTACAAACCAATGATGACATAAATAATGACAGTGATTCTTCTTCAGATAATTGTGTCATTGTTGGGTTTGTTAAACCACTAGCTGAGAGGACCCCAGAACTTGTTGAACTGTCCTCTGATTCTGAGGAGTTAGGTTCCTACGAGAAAATGGAGACCGTGAAGGCGCAAGAACAAGAGCAGTCTTACAGTTCTGGTGATAGTGATGTTAGTAGATGTTCATCTCCACACTCTCTCCTTGGAAAGGATGAACAAATAAATAAAGGTCATTGTGATTCTGGTACAAGAATCAAATCAAAGAAGGAAGAGAAACAGTCTGTATCATTGTCCTCTCCCAGAGACCTGAGCTCATCCATCAGAGGAGACAGAGTATATTCCCCATATACCCGCAGACACAGAAGGAGGGGAAGATCCAGAAGTTCAGATTCATGTTCCCAGAGTAGGAGTGGGCATGATCAGAAGAATCATAGGAAGCATCATGGGAAGAAAAGAATGAAAAGCAGACGATCCAGAAGCAGGGAGAGTAGCAGACCCAGAGGTAGAAGAGACAAAAAGAGATCAAGAACTAGAGATAGCAGTTGGTCAAGAAGAAGCCAAACTCTATCTCTAAGTAGTGAAAGCACAAGCAGATCAAGATCTCGTAGCAGTGATCGTGGTAAAAGAAGGTCACGGAGCAGAAATCGAGATCGTTACTATTTAAGAAATAATTATGGAAGCAGATACAAGTGGGAGTATACTTACTATAGTAGAAACAAGGACAGGGATGGCTATGAATCATCTTACAGGAGGAGGACTCTGTCCAGAGCTCATTATTCCAGACAATCTTCAAGTCCAGAATTTAGAATTCAGTCTTTTTCTGAAAGAACAAATGCTAGAAAAAAAAATAACCACAGTGAAAGGAAATATTACTACTATGAAAGGCATAGATCAAGGAGCCTATCTAGTACTAGATCAAAGACTGCATCTACAGGGCCTGACCGGGTGAGAAATGAAAAGCCTGGTGGGAAACGAAAATACAAAACACGGCATTTGGAGGGTTCTAACGATGTGGCTCAACCATCTCGGGAATTTGCTTCTAAAGTAAAGGAAGGTCATTACTCAAAATCTTCATCAAAATTGGATGGAAGCTACAAAAATGAGAGTGACAGCTTTTCAGATAGCCGATCATCAGACAGAGAGACAAAGCACAAGAGAAGAAAAAGGACCCGGAGCCTAAGTGTAGAGATAGTTTATGAAGGGAAAGCTACCGATACAACTAGACACCATAAAAAGAAAAAGAAAAAACATAAGAGGAAGCATAAAAAACACCATGGTGATAATGCTTCACGTTCCCCAGTTGTGATTACCATTGACAGTGACAGTGATAAGGATTCTGAAGTAAAGGAGGATACAGAATGTGACCTTAGTGGTCCTCAAGACCCTCTACAAAACGAATTTTTGGTTCCTTCCTTGGGACCATTTGAAACTAAAGATGTAGTTACAATAGAAGATGAATTTGGTGTCCTGGGCAAGGAGTGTGACATTACCACACTTAATAACAACTTGAATAATGCCAACAAAACTGTAGATAATATTTCACCCCAGGCAGCTTCAATTGAACAGACTCTTGATGTAAGAGAAGAGAGCACCTTTGCTTCTGATTTGGAGAGCCAGCCCAGTAATGTCTCTTATCAAACTGAGTCATCAAGGCGATTGCCATCTCCACGGATATCATTAATGTCAGTGTCTCTTGGTAGAGACCATGATATGTCTTAAAACTGCCAAAGCGTCTCATTGAGAATTCTGGTGGTATAAAAAGGAAAAAAAAAAAAGAACAATGTCATCTACTGCAGTCTGTTTAAAGATGACACTTGGTGAAAAAACTCTTTTCCCCCTTAAAAATATTTTGTGTAGGGCTTCCCTGGTGGCACAGTGGTTGAGAGTTCGCCTGCCGATGCAGGGGACATGGGTTCGTGTCCTGGTCTGGGAAGATCCCACATGCCGCGGAGTGGCTGGGCCTGTGAGCCATGGCCGCTGAGCCTGCGCGTCCGGAGCCTGTGCTCTGCAACGGGAGAGGCCATAACAGTGAGAGGCCCACGTACCGCAAAAAAAAAAAAAAAAAATTTTGTGATTTTTTTTTTTTTTTGTGTGTGTGTTAAAAATTTGTAAAAATCATTATTTGTTCAAAAAATATGTATGTCCCACCCTCAGAGATATGCACTTTTAAGTGAAGAAAATGATATTGCTAGCAGTTTATTTAAAACTTGGGATCCTTTTTAAATAAAAAATATAAATTTTAGAAGTTATTTCATAAAGCCATATGGTATTGACATATTTTTAAAGTAGTCAATGAGTATTTTTGAATTTTTTTTTGAGAGTTATTCTGGAAGTGTGTTATAAGCTAGGAGAATCCCTTTGGACAGTCTTTATTTTTCTTCTTAAAAATTTGTATGATTCAAACCATTTCTTCAGGTTAAATTGAGGAATTTTATCTGCACAGTTTATCTTGACATCTGCCAAAAGAAAACTTTAAATATTTCCTTTATATACTTGTTTATCTGGACTGCCAGTAAAGCAAATGTGTATTCAACAAAAGAAAAAATAAAACAGTAACACTTTAAAACAATCCAAAAATTTTCCTTTGCAGTATTGATTGTTTTTTAAATCAAATTATTTTAGTGGAGCTAAACTCTTGTAAATAGTTAAGGATATCCTTGTGTTATAAATACTGAATTTCACAGTTTTAATGTGAACTACATTTAACCTCACAGTTTTAGTGATTATTTTAGTTCTTTAATCTGATTATGAAGAGTATCTTAATTTGCTGTCTTCAGCAAAATGCGGTTATGTAGTATGTAGCTTGCTAAAAACAAAATATCTCTTGCTTGACTTCTTTTATATTGGTAGTTCTTTTACACAAAGTGGCTGTGTTTGTTTATGTTTTCTTCTGGTTTAGAGATGATAAAAACTGCTGTACCTCTATAGCCTGATGTAGGATTGCCAGTGAACAGCAGAACTTGGATGAGATCTAAATTTAGTCGTCACTTTGCCTTGCTCCCATGTTCATTCATTGTTCAACAGAAATTGGAATGTCTGCTGTGTGTGGCAGGTTTTTAGGGATTCAGTGACAGAACAAAGCAGGTATGCTCTCTTTCCTCATGGGAGATATATATATATATATATATATATATATATAAACATTACAAACTATAAACTCTCTGGAGACAAAGTATAATTTCCTGTAAGAGCATACAGTGGGGACCTAATCTCAGGTGGAAGTAGTGGTTGAACTGAAATCCAGAGAACAAGTAGATATTAACTAGGAGTAGAGTTGTCAGCAAAGGGGATGTGCAGAGATCCAAAGGCAGAAAGGGAGTCTGGCATATTCTAAGGACTAAAAGAAGCAGGCTTAGCTAAAGGACAGAGAGTGAGGGACCAAGCTTTGTAGGCCCCGCTAAGAGTTTGTGTTTATCCTAAGGGCAGTAGGAAACTGGTTTATAAAGTAATGAGAATCTAAAGTTGACACAATTTTAGTAAGCCCAGATGTTGAGACATTGTGGGATGATTATAGCTGATCAAAGAATATACTTTGAAATTATGAAATGACTGTAGTTTTTCTTAAGTATTAAAAATGTAAGAATGCTGTTGTATTCCACATTCTGCTTTTGCATGATATTTTAGTGAATACCCATCTTAATACATGGCACCATCACATCATCCTCTTAGGTGTTCAAGCCAAAAATTTCCAAGTCTTTGATTCTTCGTTCTCCTTCAGCCCTCTCATCCAGTCACTAAATCTTGGTCACTAGATATTTTTCTAATATTTCTAATGTGTCTGTACCATCATCCAGTCTAGGCAGCCGTGATCTCTCACCTGTACTACCATAATGGGTCTGCCTGCATCCACTGTTTACCTCCATCCATTCTTGATGTAGCTTTCAAAAGACCTTTAAAAACATTTTTTTCCCCCTTTCATTCTACTTAAAATCCTTCAGTAGCTTCCTATTATTCTTAGGATATTTATTAAAAGGAAACAAAAGTCCAACATAATATGGATTACAGATCTCTGCTTAATTAGACTCTAGTCCGTCTTTAGCTTTTCTCTCACTTCATTTGTGCTCTGGCCACACTAGCCAGCTTCAGGTCTGTGGAGGTGCTGCTCCCTACTAATTCAGAGCCTTCATGCATAGCATTTTTCTTCTGCTGGGAACTGAATTCTCTGGCTAAACTAGGTTAATGTTAAAGTGTGCCCCTCCACTCCATTATTTCCTCTCAATTACTTCCTCTTAACAACCCTGGACTCCTTTAGGGTATGCATCACAAGTTGCAGTTGATTACTAATGTCTTCTCTCTCACCAGTCTGAAAGTTCTTTGGCAACTGTGTGTGTTCTGCTATATCCCTTCTCTATTTTCTTTCACATAGGATATGCTTAAAGCGCTTATTGGGTGGATGTATAGGTGCTAGAGATTTTTTTAAATTGGCTAAGACCTGCTTTCTGCTTTCACAGAGCTATACTTTCTATAAACTTTCAACCTAACTGCATTCGTTTAGCCTATTCATCCAAATTTGTTGTCCATGAGACATTTCATTTTACCTCAGGTTTTCAGTGTTTTTGTGACTTATTTCTGTAAAGGAAATGCAACTAGGCATTTGCACTTGCTCATTCATTGGGCAAGCACTTGCTCAGTCTCATCCTCGGATTCACAACTGGAAAACTTGTTATTATTACTTCCTTGTCTAAATAGTCCAATTTGGCCTTGCCTCTTGGGGGAGGCAACCCAAGGGCTTCCCTAACCCATCTAGTCTGTAGTAACAATAGGTGGTGTGTACAGAGGAGCAGAATTTATGCAAGGTCAGCTGATGTCCTGTACTTACTGGGAATTATTTTTACATCACAGGGAATAATTGCAGTCCCCTCTACCGTAGGCTGTGGACACCTGAGCCAGCTGGTAATGCATCTCTGGACTTGGAAAATTTTTTCAGAAGGTGCTTTGGCGTACTGGAAACCACCAGCACCCCATTGTCCCCACGAATTGGGGCAGGGGATGAGAAATGGAAAGGGGTTCCTCCACACAAACCAGATTTCATCAGAATTCAGAGCATGGATCCATTTCTGTTGTTTGGTTTTTTTTTTAATTTATTCATTTATTTATTTTTGGCCACACTGCGCGTCATGTGGGATCTTAGTTCCCCGACACGGATCAGACCCGGGCCAAGACAGTGGAAGCGTGGAGCCCTAATCATTGGACCACCAGGGAATTCCTGAGCATGGATCCATTTCTAACATTAACCTCATTAGACCTGTGTACTATCGAAATGGTGACATTTTAAATTACTATGATAATGTAGAGACTAGAAATTGTATAGACACGTCTGGTGATTGGTGCTTTTAGGAAAACCCACATGGGCATGTAAATCATAATCATTATGTAACCTACTCTCAAATGGTTCTAGAAGATGCGTATATAGTTGGAGAGGAGTAATGATAAGTTGTGGTACAATTTAAAAATTGGTGAACGAGGGTAAAACATACAGAAATCCTTTGTACTCCTTGTAATTTTCATGTAAGTTTGAAATAGTTTCAAAAGTGCTTCTTTAGGCCTGCAAGGTTGCCTGCATGTGAGAATGTGTCAGTGAGTTATCAGCCTTGTATATCCTGCAAAAGGGAGAAAAAAATCACAAAGGCAAACATGTGACTGTTAAAGCCACTTTCTCCGTGAGAAAGAACGGAAGTCACTAGACAATCTACTCTTGATTCCATGCTCAGAAGCAAGCTTGTGAGGGTATAAAACCAAAGAAAGGAGAGTTTGCTTTATTTTTAAAATTTCAGGTGGGAGGGAGAGAAGATTTGGGGGAAGGAGGCCCTAGAATGGGGAGAAGTTGAAAATAAAGGAGAACGGTAAGTGCTGTAGCAAAGGGGATCCAGAAAACGGGTATGTGAATTAATAATGGATATAGAAGCAGAGGCGAGTCTTATTCCAAAGTGGCAGAAGGAAGTAAAAATGCAGAGAGACACTGGTGGGTAGATGATTAAGGTGAGGTAGTTCATTCTCTAAAGCCTCTCTTTTCTCCATGAAGTAGGAAGCAATGCCATCTTCTGAGAAAGATGCATCCCGAGTAGGATTGGGCTTGAGGAGAGGAGTGGAAAAATGTTCCTTGAGGGTCGTGGAGAGAGGCTTAGTTAAGAATTGCTGATGAGTTTTGAGGTCTTACCTGAGATACTGGGATGTTTAAATTTATGGGACCCTGAAATTTGTGATTTTGCCCTGGTAGCATTCAACAATATGGAAATAGAAGCAGAAACTAATGTTGGACATCTAGTATGCATTCAGTATTTCTACAGTGAATGAACAAATGGATGTATGGTTGACGTATCGCTGAATGTAAGTAGTCAAAAAAGGGGCAAGGGAATTGAGGGAGATACTGGTGAGTGTAGTTGAATTGGTGCATTCTGGTGTCTGGGCTGTGTAGGGAAGGAAGTGAAGCTATGAGGTGACCATTATACTTAGAGAACAGTGAGATATCAGGGGATTTATTTTCCAGTGAGGTTCAAGTAGGCATAGTGGGGATAGGAGTAAGAAGACTGAAAAAATATTTTAGAGAGCACCGAATTCTAGCCATGACTGGAAGTAACGAAAACGGGTGGAGGTGAAGGTGATTGGAATTGAGGATAATGATCTATGAGGCAGTCAAGTATTCTCTACTTGGAAGAACACTCTGGATGATGGTGGGAGATACAGGATGGACAAGAAAATGGTAGTTGTGTCACTGGTATTATATCTTGTCCTTTACACTCATGTTCTGCTGCAGCAGCTGA